GTTTCACCGTGTGGCCCAGGCTGCTCTGGAACTCCTGAGCTCAGGAAATCCACCTGCCTCGGCCTCCCAAAGTGCTAGGATTACAGGCATAAGTCACAGCGCCCGGCCCCAAGAGTAACTTTTTTAAAAAAAAATGGTTCTGCTTCAGAAAAGGATTTGACCTCTTGGATATATATATATATCTAGATACAATCTTCCTCGAAGTCTTTTCTTGACAAAGTTGTGAGCTCTTTGTAAAATCCACTTGTGAATTACCAGAGCTCTTTGTAAAATCCACTTGTGAATTACTCAGCAGCACGTCGTTGTCTTTGGCCGGACCTGGAGACCTCTGCCTTTGCCTTCTGGGGCCCCTCCACCGAAGTGCACAACTCCAAGCATTGAGGAGGGGCCTCAGGCCGCTTCCGTACTGCCCTAAAGGGGTGGGGCCTCAGGCCCTTCTGCACTGCTTACCTGTTCAAAGGGTTTCCCCCTGTCTCAAGCCTCGGAATGTTCCAACTGAAAATGACCGAGAAAGGAGGGGCCGAGGCCTTGCCTGCCACTGGCTGAGATTCCCCTTCCGTATTTCTCAGTCCTGAGCGTCTGTTACTCCCGAAGCAAGAGGGTTTTTTAGATCCTCGCGCTAGCCCCACAGGTCACTGGCCACAATAATTGCTCAGCAAAGCCCCAAGGAGGCAGAGGTGGATAGAGGGGTGAAGGATCATAAGAGAGCCAACGTTTACAGACCCGACCTCATTTTAAAAGGCTACAAACCACCTGTGAAGTAGGTCATGGGCTCATTCCCACTAACCGAGTCAGGAAGGTTCTCTCCCTTCCCCCAAGTGAAGTTCCAGGGACTCTCACTCCAGGCCTGTCTGACCCAACACCTGGGAAGGGGTGGGCGTCTTAGGAGGTCCTCTGCTGGTGGTCCCGAATGGGAGAGCAAGAAGAGCGCTGAGGGAAGGGGTCAGCTGTATCTGAGAGCTCATTGGTGTCTCTACTCACAGGGCCTTCTAGAAATCCTTCTTCCTCCTTCCCTCACCCCAGCCCCTGTTGGTTCCTCCTCCTTGTCCCACTCCAGGGAGTTGGCCAGCCTCCTGGGAGCTGAGGAGGGGAAGAAAGGATTGTCCCCAAAGCCCCTTCCTTCTCTCCTGCACCAACCTTCATTACACCCCACCTTTCTCGCCTGTGTCCGCTCCCCCATCCCAGAGAGGAAGGGAAGCCCTGCCAAGGCCCAATTCCTTCATCTCTCACCCTCATTCTTGGCCTTGGCCTTCAGGGTGGAGAGGACAGGATGCATTTTAAATTGTCTCTACATGAGCAGTCAGGAACGCTGAAGAAATCCTTGCATACATTGGAAAACCCCCATTTTCCAAAGCCAACCTGTGACCTAGCCGAATGATTTTTTATCGCACTGACATGGCCTCTGAATGCCCCGCCAAGGAATGTGGGCCAAGCACTCATTAAGAGGAAACAGAAGGAAGGTGGGATTAAGTTGGGAGTCAATCCTGGCAAAATCCATCTCTATATTCAGAGGACAGTTTTCTAAAGGAAGGAAAATGGAATGGAAGTATAGGGAAAAAATGCGGGCACAGAGGTCTCTAGCAAAACCAATCCAGGAAAGCAGAGGATGGGTAAGAGAGGCAAACGTGGCTGACAGGGTCTGGCAAGCTTCCCTTCCTGTATCTGCCGTGCCTCTTTCTCTGAGACCCAAGGGCACGGAGAACTCTGATGGTAGCAGGAGCAGCAGTGCAGCCCATGTCCCCTCCTCTGGAACCTACGCCCGCCCCTCTTGGAGGAAGAACAGGCCCTCCCCAGATGTATACCCAAATCAGAACACAGGATCCACTGAAGGACCCCAAGCCCAGGCTTCCAGTACCACCCCTGCCTCTCCTGCCCTTCCTCCCTGCTACAGGGTAATCAAGGCAGGGCTTTGGGGCCTCCAGATCCTTGTGTCCAATGCTGGCTCATTGTAGACACTAGGGTACAAAGGCTGCCAGATGCATAGAGAGAAGAGCGGTCCAGCCACAGCCCTCGGGGGCACTAAGGTGGGAAAAGATGAGCACCATAAACATGGGATAAAAGCCCAGGTGTGTCCATTTTGGGAGTGCATGTTCCAAACGGCCTCCTATGCCTATTAGACTTGTTGTTACCGGGAAGTGCGGACTCCTCAATTCTTAGTCTTACTTGGAGGGATTCAGCCAAGAGACCAAGTAGTAACGTAAGCAAAAGGTTTACTGAAGGAAAATAAAGAGCAGGGAGTTTATGGAAGTAGGCTCCAAGAGAGGAGCCAGCGGGTCCGGCTGGGAAGCAGCAGTATTCACGGCAAGAGTGAGGCAGTGGCAGAGGCAGTGCACTCTGAAAGATGGGGCAGAGCAGGCTGCGCAAAACAGAACGAGCCAGCAGCTCCAGAGTTCTGCCTTGCGGTTTTTATCACTCTTTTTTTTGTTTTGTTTTTTTAAAGCTAGTGGTTTTTATCACTCTTACTACATCACACTCTCTTTAAGTTCCAGCCTCTGTCTCAAGTCTCCACCTTTATCTAATTTCCTGCTTCGTCTTAAGTCTCTACCTTCTCCCCCCACCCAGTTCCTGCCCCAGGTTTGTGGGACTCTCCCTTAACTTTCAGGGAATGAAACTGCAGAGGCGGATGTCAGATATAAATCCACCAAATGGTGACGTTGCTAATTACCAACACTCCGGGAAGGTTGTGTATCAGTATTTATTGCACCTGCATATCTCGTGGGAATTTCTCCTTTGCCTTCTTTCCCTCCTTATCAGCAGGCAGCTGGCTACATTCCGACAGGTTAACTGCAGAGTGTGTGATGACTGGGGATCTTAAGGGGCGTCTTGCGGCATTCCTTCCTACATAACATATCTAGACAAAATGGACACTCCTGGGCTTTTATCCCATGTTTATGGTGCTCATCTTTTCCCACCTTAGTGCCCCCGAGGGCTTCGGGACCACTCTTCTCTCTGCATCTGGCAGCCTTTGTACCCTGGAGTGTCTACAGTGCATGTTTTGGGTGGTCTCTGGAATGTGAGACTTTCCAGATCTCCCTTTCTCAGGGACTCCCCCTCCTACTCACATCGATCTATCTAACAGTGTGACCTTGGGCAAGTCACTTGACCTCTCTGAGCACTGGTTTTCTCTTATAGCTCAAAAGCATTAGACTAGGTCAGTGGTTTCCAAACTTTCCCAGCCACATAACCCCTTCTTTGAAATCTGACTGAAACCCCAACATATAACCTGTTTCCCGAACAGTCCTAATTTGATGAGATACAAACATGATCAGTTTTACCTTTCTTGCAACCACTGCCTTCCAGCGTCTCCGTGGAGGCCCCTTCCCATTCCTAAGGCCACCTCAGGCAGACCCTGGTGACTTTCAGTGGATAAAAAGTCTACCCAGTTGTTTCAGTTTAAAGCTTCAATCTGATGTCTGGCATGGGGCCCACATCCTCCCATCCCCATCCTCTATTTCGGGTTTGCCCCATGCTTTCTCCTGGCTCCTTCCCTCTCCTCTGCAGCACTCCTCTGGGCGTTCCTCCTCAGCTGTTGGGGCAGGGAGGAGGGAGCAGAAAAAGGAGCAGTCTCTTGACTGCCTGAGGTGGCTCTGACCTCCTGGGTGAAGATGTCCTTGGTGCTTCAGCCATGCAGCTGCTTGGGGGCCTTCCTACCTCTTCCTGAAAGCTGCCCAGCAGTCAGGCCTTTGGGACTAGGTCCTGGCCAGATGGCTCCAGAGAGGCTGCCTTCCTTGGTGCTCACTTGGCATGGAGGAGACCCACCCATTCTTGCCCCACCTGGCAATGGGAGGCTGCCCTCTGCTGCCCCAATCTGTCCTGCCCTCTCTTTCTTCTACCCAATAGGCAGAAGGGCAGATCAGCAAGGTCTAGCATAAGGAGAGGCTCAGCCAGGGAATGACAGGTCAGCTTCCCCCTCTCGTGGGCCCCTGTGGCATCATTGGAAGCCCCTCCCTTGACTTGGGCAGGGGCCAGGGATCCCCCAGTCTCCACAGGCAGGTGCTGGGAGGTAAAAACCGCAGTAATTCCCCAAGGCAGTGCCTCCTTACAAGGGGAATTCTCAACTCCTGCTGCATATTAGATCCCATGAAATGCTCAGGAAGAAATACCAGTGTGCTGACCCCTGGTCACTTAACACAGCATCTTGAGGTGGAGCCTGAGAATGTTTCTTTTATTTTTTATTTTTTTGTATTTTTAGTAGAGACGGGGTTTCTCCACGTTGGTCAGGCTGGTGTCGAAATCCTGACCTCAGGTGATCCGCTTGCCTAGGCCTCCGCAAGTGCTGGGATTACAGGCATGAGCCACCGCGCCCGGCCGAGAATGTTTCTTTTAAAAGCACCTGAGATGATGGCAGAAAACAGCCAGGGTTAGGAACCACTGCCCTGTCCAGCAAGCTCCCAGCAAATGGTGGAGAGAGGGCCCCGTTAGACCTGCTGATGGCCAAGGAGGGTCTGGGTTCTCCCTTTGTGAGGTGGTGGGGGCAGACTTCGGGCCTGGTACCCTTAGTTTTGGGGCTTGAGGCACAATTTGAAGGTACCAGAAGAGTTCCCATTGAACATTCTACCATGAGTGGCTGTCGAACTTGTCTTGGCAGCAGAACTTTCCTCATGTGAGTGTCTGGCTGAAGTAAGCGGGGCCAGAGCTTCGCCAGCAGCATTGGAACCTGCCCCCACCTCCGCACCCTTTTAATGAAATAATCACTCAGGCCCCTTTGGCTCATTCTGAGAACCTTCGGTTGCTATTTTAGATTGGAGAGAGAAGGCCACCCTGCAGCTTTCTGAAGGAGGAATGGGGTGGAAATGGAGCCAGAGGCATGGGCAGGGTAGGGAAGTGAGTGGGTACCCACAGCAGGTTGTGGAAGAGCCAGGGTGTGCCAGGAAGTGGAAGCAGAAAGGAAGTAGGCGTGGGGGTGACGGAAGGTGGCTGCTGACCTCCCAGCTTTGCTGAGAACAGCCGTCTCTACCAGAGCCTCCAGAAAGGTGTGCTCCTCCCTATGCCCTGAGCAGGGGGAAGAAGAGGGAAGGTGGCCTAAGGACCTGCAGCAGCCACCACCGCCGGGGCAGCATGAGGACAGGCAGAAATCCGTTGGGGACGAGAGGCCTGCCACGGAGCCCCTCTTTAAGGTCCTAGATACGCCCCTGAGTGAGGGTGATGAGCCCGCAACACTGCTGGCCCCGCGGGACCGCGGGCACAGCGTGCAGATGGAAGGCTACCTGGGCCGCAAGCACGACCTGGAGGGACCCAACAAGAAGGCTTCCAACAGGTGAGTGTGGGGAGGCTGCTGGCAGAGGGGAGGTTGGGTGGCTCCCAGGGATCTCTCTGCCAGCAGAGCCTTAGTGATGTGGGCATGTCCTGGGGGAGGGGTGCCCTCTGCCTCTGGCCTGTAAGAGCTCCTGGGCACCCCTCTGGGCCAGCCACGAGGGCTACTTGGCATGATGGGAAAGCCCATCTCCAGTTCTGGTCCTGAGTTCAAATCCTATGTCTTCATGCCAGTTATTCAACCTCTTTAAATCGGTTTCCCCATTTGGAGAGAGAGGATGATGGAAACAGTGTGTCTTTTCACTACAGATACTGTTCCTGGCCCAGAGCAGGCACTTGGTGAACACGAGTTGTTATTATCCTAGTATCCCAGGGCTAGGGATAAGTAGGTAAAGGCTAGATAGGTCTTGGCACTAACAACATCCTTGTTGGAGCCCCACTTTTTATCAGTCTGGGCCTCAGTGTCCTCAGCTGTAAAATGTGAGTGGTGGGGGTGGGTCATGGCCCAGCTGCCTTCTGGAGGTCCCTTCCAGTGCTGTCATTCAGTGACTCTATGACCCTGAGGAACTGACTCAAAGGCTGCATCCTTTCCTGACCCTGAAACAGTCCTGCCCTTGGATTTGGTCTATCTGGGGTTGTCTCTGCCTGGGGCCCTGGGGGCCTTCTCTTTCTAGCAGCAGTCCAGGGTCCCAGGGAAATAGAGCAGCACCAAGAGGTTGAAGCCAGCCATATTTCCAGGGACAGCTGGCAGCATGAGCATGCGTGTGTCTGGGGGACTCACGAAAGCAATTCCAAATTCCAAAATGGAACCATTTGCAGGCCCAATTGCCCTGAAGTGGTTTATTTATTGCTTACATGGAGAGTCCATCAGGAAAGGGGAAATTAACATTTATTGAGCATCTACTATGTGCCAGGCATTATGTTAGGACTGATAAAATCTTCACAACAATCCTGTGATATTGATGTTTCCATTTTCCGGGGGGAAAACAGAGTCTCGGAAAGGTTAAGTCATTTGTTAAAAGCAGTAAGCTCTTTCTCCAAAGACCCAGCTCCTTCTTAGTTACTGCCTTTCTGCTAGAGGAAAGATCCCTGAACGCAGAGTCAGAAACGGGACTTTGTAAAATGACTTTGCAGCCAGCTTTGTATGAGTCAATTTCTCCCTCTGACCTTCCAGAACTTCCTACCTATGTGCCCTACTAGTTTCTCCACCTTCCTGCCTTCAAAAGTAAGGGAGGAGAAGGGGGAGAGGAGAGGAGGGAGACAGAGGAGGGGGATGATCATGAGGAGGAGGAAACAGTGTCTGTTACTGTAGAAGTGCTGCAACCTGCTTCTCACGTGTGAGTGAAGGCGCTCGGGGCAGTCCAGCCGTTCAGTTATGAGCCTGGTGCTCTCACCAAACATGCCAGTTGACAGGAGCCCTATTTGTAAAATCTGTTCCTTTAAAAAGTTTGCTATACTTGGCACATCTCATCGAAACAAAAAACAATCACTGAAACAAAATGCCGTTCAATTCCTTCACAGTTCTCTAGTGAGAATCAAATATGGTAATGCATGTAGAAATACTTTTAAAAGTTCATTTTTTACTGTTGGTCTTAAGTTGTAATAGTTCTACCTCTAGAAATGTATCTCAAGGTAAGATAAGAATTATAGGCACAGATTTATGTGTAAGAATGTTCATCATGGCTGGGCTCATGCCCGTAATCCCAGCAGTCTGAGGCGGGCAGATCACAAGGTCAGGAGTTCGAGACCAGCCTGACCAACATGGTGAAACCCTATCTCTACTAAAAATACAAAAATTAGCAGAGTGTGGTGGCACGTGCCTGAAACCCCAGCTACTCAGGAGGCTGAGGCAGGAGAATCACTTGAACCTGGGAGGCAGAGTTGCAGTGAGTCAAGATTGCACCACTGTACTTCAGCCTGGGCAACAGAGTAAGATTCCGTCTCAAAAAAAAATTTTTTTTTCATCACATTGCTATTTAAATTATGGACAAATTTTCCAGTATTATAAGGTTCATCAATAAAGGGATTGTGATAGGCTTCCACATAGTTATTCAAAATAATTTTAAGAAATATTTGAGGATATGGGCTGAGTGCAGCGGCTCACACTTGTAATCACTTTGGGAGGCTGAGGCAGGCAGATCGCCTAAGGTCAGGAGTTCCAGACCAGCCTGGCCAACATGGTGAAACCCTGTCTCTACTAAAAATAAAAAATTAGCCGGGCGTGGTGGTTCATGCCTGTAGTCCCAGCTACTCGGGAGGCTGAGGCAAGAGAATTGCTTAAACCCGGGAGGCAGAGCCAAGATCGCACCACTGCATTCCAGCCTGAGTGACAGAGTAAGGCTCTGTCTACAAGAAACAAACAAACAAAAAAAGGAAATATTTGAGGATATGGAGAAATACTCATGATTTAGTGTTATGCTTAGAAACAGGATATAAAATTGAATATATACATAACCCAATTTTAGCTGTCTGTGAATAGTAAAAAAAAAAAAAAAAGTGAATATGTGAAGACTTGAAGGAATACATAAAATGTTAATAGCAGCTAATTTTTGGTAATGAAATTACATGCAGATAATTATTTTAACAATAAAACATGTTACCATGTATCAGGACAAACATGGTGTCATTTTTTGAATGGTGACACTGTAGGAATTGACCCTAGAGATGCCATGTCAGGATGGGTGACTTGCCTGTCTGCATCTTTGCAGGTCGTGGAACAACCTGTACTGCGTGCTCAGGAACAGCGAGCTAACCTTCTACAAGGATGCCAAGAACCTGGCCCTGGGGGTGCCCTACCACGGGGAGGAACCCCTGGCCCTGAGACATGCCATCTGTGAGATTGCTGCCAACTACAAGAAGAAGAAGCACGTCTTTAAGCTGAGGTGAGGCCTTCCTGGCTTTTGAAAGCCCAAGTTGGTGGCTTGATTGGGCATTGGTGGCAGGGCAGAGGCCCTCTGTATGGGTCCCATTCCAGGCCTCAGCTGCTCCTCAGGGGGTTTTCAAATCAAAGAGGCTGATGGTGCACACTTTGACCTCTCTCAGAAAGTGCTGGGCGGCCTGGGAGGGTTCTGGGTGTTCCGCTCAGGGTATTGTGGGATCAGAGCCAGCCCTCTGCCCAGTGCCCCCTCCAGAGGTGTCTCCATGACAGGAAACCCTTTGTCCTCCTAGGCTGAGCAACGGCAGCGAGTGGCTCTTCCATGGCAAGGACGAGGTAAGCGCGGGCAGCCTCGCCCAGACCTGGCTAACAAAGCGGTAGGTGGAGGACCCCAAGCCGCTTGCCTGGGAGCCCCCCATCGTTGCCTGGCACGAGAGGTGGGGGCCTGCGGGCCTCCAGACTCGACCGTGACCCTCCGCCCCGCAGGAGGAGATGCTGTCCTGGCTGCGAGGCGTGAGCACCGCCATCAACGAGTCCCAGAGCATCCGCGTCAAGGCGCAGAGCCTGCCCCTGCCCGCCCTCTCCGGCCCCGACGCCAGCCTTGGCAAGAAGGACAAGGAGAAGAGATTCAGCTTCTTCCCCAAAAAGAAGTAGCGGCTGGGGGCCCCGCGGGTGGAGCTGGCGGGCACTGCGGGGTCGGGAAGCGAAGGGACCAGGCGTCCCGGCCTTGACCTCGCCGCGGCCGCAGCCTCCTCCAGCCGCCGCCCGCTTGTCGGGCCGAGTCGCGGGCCGGGCCCCTGGGCCCCACGCTGCACTGCAAAAGCTGCCTTCGCCCGCGCGTCCCGGGCCGACGCCCCCTCCATGCCCTCGCCCGCACTGGCTCTGCTCCAGGGACCGGGGCTCCCAGCTCCTCAGGCGCCCTCGGGGCCTCCAGGCCTGGGGACAGGAAACGGTTCTCTGACGCACACGCCCTCCTCTCCCACCCTCCTCCTGAGCTGAGGGTGCGAAGGCCCCTTACCCCCAACCAAAAACAAAACAAAAAAAAGAGCTGGAGAAGGCTGGTGGGGCTCCTAAAACAATTCTTGCTTGGGGTCACCTCTCACCTGGTCGCAGCCAGGGAAAGGGGAAAGAAGAGGGCACTGGAAATGCCGGCCAGCCCCAGAGGGGCAGGAGGAAGGAGCCACAAAGCCCTAGCTCTGGGCCAGGGGCTGAGGGGGGCTGCCAGGACCAGACTGGGTCAGGGCCTTGGATGCTGCCAGCCTCCTCCCCGCTGGGCTTCGGCAGAACTGGGACTCTCACCTCAGGGGCCACCCCATCCTTCCACTCTGCTCCTCCCCCCAGATCAAAGGGCACCCACCACGGTTGGCGGGGCCTGGCTGAGTGCCTCCAGCACCCTTTGTGCCACCACCGGCAGTCCCAGGAGGGGCAGCAAGGTCAGGCCATTCATTTAAAGCCGTGGCCAGGCACAGGGCTGTGATCTGGAGTGACAGGTATGTCACAACACTGCCTAAGGCTCTCCCTCTCAATGCTGGGACCCTCCCCCTACTCCCAGTAGCAGCCAAACCAGCAATATCCGACAGACACAGGCCCCCTAGGGGACAGTGTGGGCGCCCAGATAAAAAATGGATATCCCCGCACCTGCAGTAAAGCATCTCAAAGCCAAATGCCCGATTGCATCCTGTCTGCCACTGGGACCGTCAGAGGGTAATGGCTGGGCAGACAGCAAAGTGGTATCACCTTGGGGTGGCAGAGGTGGCCATGCCTTGGTATTACCACTCATGCGACATAGCTACCCCTGCACAGCTGGGACAAATGTCAGGGCCAGAGCCATTGATCAGCTTCTCCAGAAGGTCCTGGCCCCAGGTCTTGGGGGGGGAGTCACATGAGTACACAGGTCAATATCTATCCCCCTTTATCCCTGAGCACCAGAAGGGGCTTTGCAACCTATGTCCCCAGGAATGGCCTTCCCCTTGCTGCCCAGGTCATACTTCCAGAAGGGAGAGGCCACTCATTCCACAAGGATTTCCCAACCACTCTACTCTGAAAGCAACACAGCTCTGGCCCAGTATCTAACTGGGTTTAGGTCCAAGAGAGGAGTCAAGTGGGGTGGGGGGCAGTAGGGATTCTCCCCCAGGGAAACCAAAGGTCCCCAGTTTCTATCACCTTCCCCGTGGGAAGGACCTTAGTTGCATGGAGATGAGAAGTGGGTGAGGTTCAGGTAGAAGCCACAGGGACAGGCATCCAGAATGAGCCTTCCCAGGAATCCTGAGTGCTGACCAGTGCCGGCAGAAATCACTTCTCCCCTGTAGTCCTGACACATCAGGGTAACACCAACTACAGCAGGCAGGAGCCATAGGAAGGAAGACATCATTCGATGGAGCCTGATATTCCCAGGTCAGATATTCCCACCCCACCCCGGTGGCCAAGGTCTTCATTTGACCTCAGTGCATATGACCCTATACAGGGAATCTAGTGTGTATCACTCACCAGCCTCTTTCTGTGTCTGGGGAAACCAAGGCAGTGAGGTGACTTCCCTCACCTAGGAATAAAGTGGACTCTGGCGCCCTTGAGGGCACGTTCTCCTCTGAGGCAGAGAGCAGGTTCCTTGCTGAATGGCAGATGGTGGCAAGCATCTCCCTCACCTGTTTCCCTGGGCCAGTCTTTAGGGAGCCAAGGGACAAGGGCCCACCCTCCCCCTCCACATGTGCCAAATCAGCACCTGAAGTGAGGCATTTCCAGCAAGCACCTCCACAGACACAAGAAAGGGCTCCAGTGGAAGAGCTAGCATCTCACCACCCCAGGTTCCCCGGCCTGGTCCAGGGCAGCCAGCTGCATGTGACCATTCTGTTGCCAGCTCCCCCGACATCCCTCCTGTCACCCGGCCCCAAGACATTCGACCAACTGGACTAAAACTGCAGGCACCCAGCTTTGGGAGACCCTGTGCCACATCAGGGCTAAGCGCTCCTAGTGCCCTGGCAAAGTCTTTTTTTTTTTTTTTCCTCTCCTTATTCTACTTTGCAGTCTTTTCTTTGACAGTATTCCCAAACTAGGTTGACACAGCTCCAGTCCACACCAGCATACCAGGCTTCCTCCCCAGGGCAGTTTAGAGGAAGCTCCTTCTGGGTGCGGTCAGGCAGTCCTCCTTCCCTTTCCTTCCCCCTGGTCCTGGCCTCGACTGACTCTGGCTGTGGAAGGTGTGGAGGGTCCTTGGGCTTCCCTCCCCAACCCGGCCTCCACTAGCACCACTAACAGGAGGCCTGTGGAAGGCTCAGCCTCTCCTCCACACCCCTCCTCCTTCCTGCCTGTCGGAGGTAACCAGGGTCCCTGAGGTTGGCCTTGAATCTCATTCCTAACTTCATGGGAGGGGGCAGGAATCCAGAGGAGGACGAAGCCAGCGGGACCACATGGCTTGGCAGCTTGGACAAACAAGCTCAGGGAGGAAATGAGGAGGCGGTGGCTGCAGAGGAATGTAACCCTGTTGGGCACAGACCATGCAATCTGGGGCTGGCCCTGGGGCCCGCTGGGCCCTGCCCTCCACCTGCTCAACCGTGCTTCCACCAACCAGAGGAAACCCAGTTACTAGTTTTTCTAATAAATCAATAATGCTCCATATTTCTCTCAGTTTCTTGTTTGACTAGCCTCCTCTCCCTCTGAACAGGGTCTCAGAGGGCTGGCACCATGGAGACAGAGGGACAGCCAGGCTCTCTAGCTTGTCCCTCGGAGCCTTATGGGATGACTGAAAGCACCTGGGTCTGTGCTTCACTGCAAAGCCCGAAAAAAGCTTATTTTTGCACTTGAAGGCTTGCTGCAGGGCAAAATCATTTCCAAGCGATGATCAGCCCAGGCCCTTCCCCACAGCGCTCAGGACAGGTCTCAGCACTCGCTGAACCACAGAATCCCCAGAATCTCTAAGGCTGGGATTCACCTCTAGAGGGAAGCTTCACTTGGTCTAGGGGGATGGAATGCAAGCACTGCCAGTTTCCAAAAGGCTCCCCAGATGATTCCAATGGGCAGCCAGTGAGAACCACCAAACTGGTGCCAGGTTCCCAGACTCACCTAGATGGCTATGTAAGGCCTGACTGGGGAAGGGGTTAACTACAACTTCCTGGGCCCCACGCTCTGAAGAGCCCCGGTTGGAATTTTGGGAAACAGCAAATCATCCATCTCTTTCGATTTATAGATGAGGAAAAAGCAACAGCTTAGGTGACCCAGCTAGTTAATGGCAAGGCTGGGATAAGACTCTGGGTCTCGACCAGGTACTGTGGCTCACACCTGTAATCCCAGCACTTTTAGAGGCCAAGGCAGGCAGATCACAAGGTCAGGAGTTCAAGATCAGCCTGGCCAACATGGCGAAACCCCATCTCTACTAAAAATACAAAAATAGCAGGGCATGGTGATGCGTGCCTGTAGTCCCAGCTACTCAGGAGGCCGAGGCAGGAGAATTGCTTGAACCAGGGAGGCAGAGGTTACAGTGAGCCAAGATCATGCCATTGCATTCCAGCCTGGGGCAACAGACCAAGACTCCATTTCAGTGGGGGGCAGGTGGGGGGAAGAATCTGGGTCCCCTGACCCTCACACTGTCCAGTGCGCTTGTGGTTACTCAGCATCGTATCCTGAGACTGGCCTGGCAGGAGCCAGTGACTGTGGAAATGACCACAGAAGATTCAGGGCAGTTGGCAGATCTTCCCTTGACCTTGTAAGACTCAAGGGACCCATCTTCAGGTTGGGTCAGAAGGCCCACAGGAAGGGCTCTGGCCCAGCAGCCCTGCCTGAACACTTGTCAGGGAGCTCTACCACCCAGGCCCTGCAGCCTCCGCTTCCCAGGCTCCAGCCAGAACAAATCGAGACAAACGAGGCTGGACCTCTGTGGAGAAAGGGCAGAAAACCCAACTGAAATAGGGAGGCATTCCTAACTTCTGAATCAGAGACACTTCTGAGAATGTGATAAAAAGAGGGGAATAAAAATGCACTTGTACTCCTCATCCAGCGCTACAGACACCTTTAGGACATTTCTAATCTCCAAGTTTGGATACCTTGCCTTCAGCCAGGCGTGGTGGCTCACACCTGGAATCCCAACGCTTTGGGAGGCTGAGGTGGGTGGATCACTTGAGGTCAGGAGTTCGAGACCAGCCTGGTCAACATGGCGAAACCCCATCTCTACTAAAAATACAAAAAATTAGCCGGTCATGGTGGTACATGCCTGTAATCCTAGCTACTCAGGAGGCTGAGGTAGCAGAATCGCTTGAACCTGGGAGGCAGAGGTTGCAATGAGTCAGGATGGCACCATTGCACTCCAGCCTGGGCAACAAGAATAAAACTCTGTCTCAA